GACACAGAATGTGCTTTAATTCTATTACACAATAACCACTCCTTTCATTCAAACTTTAATATCTCAAGTATTTTAACTCATATTAAGGTCTAAAACTTAAATATGTTTTCATGGAATAAGTTATATATTGTTTTCATTATAAAGGCCTCCCATTCACAAAGAATTCAAACCTTCCCTCAAGTATTTTCCAATACTATCAAATATTTTTCCAGATGTGTGTGTGGGTTGTTTAAAATTAAAAAATTATATTTTTTTAGTTTAATAAAGATTTATAATTTAATATTTGTAATTGAAGTTGGGTAATATGCAATTATTTTAAATTATTGTAAAAATGCAAACTCTTAAACTAATTCTTTGTCAACTAAAAACCACTTAAGGCTTATTATTATTAACAATATATGTATAAACATTTAATAGAAAACATAATTTTAATTAAAATAAATAATAGAATATAAAGAATACTATACTTTTGTTTTACATTATTTAAGCAAAAGTATGATAATGAAATAATCAAGTATTTAACATCAATTGAAAATTCTTTATTAATTTTTTCATTAAATGAAAACAATGAGTAACTCTTAATTAATTTTAAATAAATAATATCAAATTTTGTTGTTTAACATTAAAGTTATAGAATTGATTGTCAAACTAAATTACAGAATTAATATACACTCATCTGAATGTTTAAAAATTTTCAGTTTTAACATTGAGTGAATATTAAAATAGTATTACACATTATTATAATTTCCTTTATTTTTAATGTTCACCTGAACATTTTACTGTAATAAAAACAATTAAACATTATAAATGGCTGTAAATTTTGAGTAATATATCAATTCTATAACTTTTTACAGTAATTACAGAGAGTATAACAAAAATTGGGATTTTTTGACAAAAGTACAATACATTACATAATAAGAAGTTGTGATTATTTGATATTTGATACTAAAGACATTTGTATATTAAAGGTAAGATACTAATAGAAGTAAATAAATGTTTCTGTACTGTATAATAATATTTGCTAGTTTCACTACAAATTACTAAAACTATAGCTTTAAAAGAAAAATACTTATTAAACATTATTTTATTTATTTAATTATTTGTCAAAATTTTGAGTCATTTTTGTATTAGACTTTTGGCGTATTTTGTAGGCTTTCCACAAAACAGTTTAAAAGAATGGGTCGACAAGTAAGTGGTTGTCCTCAGCATTCACCTGATTTGGACTGACCCGCCGTCCTCTGCCAACACCCATCACCTCATTTGTCCGGTGCGCCGGCCATATGCCGCACCCACACGACCCCCGAATGGCTATCACTGACCAACCGATGTCTCCGGTGTTTGTAATCACTTTACCGTACGTCCAGATGTAGTTCTCTCTGCACCGGGAACTCCATACCTAATCACAAGTCATGTTACAAACCATCAGATATTTACACAATTATTGGAAAATGAATTATTAACACAACTTTAAAAATCACATTCTCTCCTATATTATCACTAAATATTTAGCTATTTTTAAATTTATTTATAAAACTGCAAATAATTCACACTTAAATTGCTTCCAAATAAAGATATAAATATTTGATATTTTTGATTAAATAAATAATTTATATTTCCTTTTTGAAAAAAAATAAGACTCAATCTTATAAAGTTATATAACTTATTAATATATTTTAGATATATATTTAGAGTTTCCTATAATCAGAACATATTCTGAGTGCAGAATATAATTTGTGTCTCAATCTGATAAAGGTTTTAAATATTTATATCTTCAAAATAGCTTTTATATATGTTCATTATATGTAAAGCATATCTAAAAGTAAATTCATTACATCTTTCGTAAGATTTGCCATAAAATGTCACAAAAGAAGCAATGAATACGTCATACAATCCATAAAATGTATTTATTCAGTAAATAATATTTTATGAATATTTTTGCTTAATTTTAATAAAATATTGTTAAACAATGTCTTTAAATATCACAATAGGGTAAATGGTACAGGTGTTTGATCAAAAATGGTATATCATTAGATTAACAGAACTTTTAAAAATGCTTAAATGTCTTACAGTTTGAAAAATATTTATAAATATAGTTTTCTTAGTTTAGATACAGTTTATATTAAAAAAAATAAATGTATCGATTTGCATAATATTGTTAACATTTTCATGTTCAAATCTGTCTATTTGCATATAATATTATTTGCAAATAAAATAATTCAAAATTTTAAATATTCATTGGCTATTAGTACTATTTATAGATATAACGACTCGGACACATTTAAATATCTGAAATTATGTATTCATATATTCAAAACAATATCAAATTTATGTCATTTGGTAAATTTGATGATTATATAAATAACAACATTTAACATTATAAATTTATTGAAGCCTAATAACATTTATTTAATGACATCATAAGTAGTTTTGTCAAAAATTACAGATTCATTTTGCAATAGAAAACAAAATGAAATAAACTAATTAATAGACTTTTGAATGAAAATAAATTCCCATTCATAATTTAAATACTGTAACTAGAATTTGTAACAAATGGATTGCTATTTTAAACTCAATATTTAAAATGAATGTTAAATAAATTTTTATAAAAACAATTTAAAAGGATATAAGGATTCTATTATAAATGAATGAATTCCTTATGTGAAGGTATGGCACGATTGAGTGAACTGACAATCTATTATAAAATTTGTAAACTATTTAGTAGAGCATTGGTTGAGTTGTATCGAAAGCACTTTAATTATATCTATTATCACTGAATGCACTGTTGTTTTTGTATTTAATTGATTTATGCCTAAAGATATATTAATTTGATTTCAATGAATGCAAACTATATATAGATTAAACTGAATGCAAAAAAACAGAATAATGCAGTTGTTTTAATAATAATACTGTTATAAATAAATTTCACGCTCATGTCTTAATAATGCAACAAAACTAAGTAAATGTTTGCCTTATTGATTAACTTTCATTGAGTCATACTCTCGTAAACAGTAAATAAATGTGACATTAAAGCAACAAAATCTATACATTTTTCAATTATGAATGTGTTTTGAATATAAAAATAAATGTAAAATAAGAAATTCAAACAAATAAATACCTTTTTATCGATTCCACGGCATTGAGGGGTCATATGATTACCATTATTGTTGTCATAACCATAAGAGTCGACATCATAGGAGCAAAAAGTTTCATAAAAGTACTGATTGATGACTGTGCCGTTGATCGGGATCCTTTGGACAATTGTTAACTTATTGCCGTAGGGGTCGAGTGCCTCAGAGCGGGCCACCCAATCGGAAACGGATGGACAGACATCCTGAACCAATTCCGTCATGAGTCGTGTGGCACCTGATCTCCGCTTACTTCTGCCGCTGGCTTCGGGGGCTGA